GGTCTATTTTGGGAGAGTGGGGGGGTCCCGATAAAAATAGGTACCGGGGGCTACTGGGACAGTGCATCATGGCAGGTTGTGCGATGCGGAGCTGCGACTTGTTTCTGTGATGTCGCAAATCCAACCGGTCGTGACTAGTCTTATCCATGTGGGAAGAGTCCTCCGAGTACACCCGGACCCCCCCTACCTCAAGCCACCGTCGTAATAGGTGCCGGTACCTATTTCCAACCCCCCTCTCGCTCCCCCACACCCCCCCCCCCCGCGAGGGGGTAGCCATTTCAACTTCTTCACTCGCTGCGAAACCATCACTAATCCTCTTCGACGGCACTCAGACAGATATCATCAACCTGCCAGGACGACATCTTTGTTTCGAGCAAGGGACGTTTCTGTATTCCGTTTGGATTTCGCGCATCAGGGTTGCCCGGCTCCGCGAAAGCGATGAATCAACAATTCACTTGCACCCTCTGTGATGACAACAACACGACAGCGAGCCTGAAGGTCCGAGTGCAATTAATCCCCCGGAAGCAGGTTTGCCCAGACTTGAGGGAAAGGCACAAGATTCGCGACAGTTGAACAGTCATTCCAGGATCTTGCAGGTGCCCCCCTCCGGCAAAAGCTACTGTTTGACAGTAACAGCTGGTACCTGCCAGTACTGAGAATTTGATACCGCGGTCTGTAGGAGGGTTATCGGCTATCGGTCAAGATACCTGAACCCGGCTCAACAGCAATCCAGGGAAAACTCCCTTCGAAAAATCACGCAGGATGCGCCAGCTGACTTGTGATGCGAAGACAGAAGCAACCCCAATAAGCAGGCAGGAATCCGAGCAGACAAAGACTAGCAGGAGACACAGCGCGGTGCGGTAGGAGAAACTCAAGAGCGAAATTCTGCAAAAGGCCATAGGTTCAGGTTAATTGGACAGAGGAGGACCGGCGAAACGCCAGACGAGCTTCCTGAAAATGTTCGCAGAAGGTGCAAGACTGACAGCAAGGGTGATGCAGGACGCGGACTGAAACCAGAAGGGAGAGTAAGCATGGTTCAGATGCAAATGCTAGGAGTGTCAGATCCACGAGCGCCCAAAAGTCCAGAAGTCCCGATCACGCAATCTGATGTACAACTCGTGCTGAAAATCTGCATGGCTCGGCTCAGCGGCTTTTTTGGTTCATTTCCCTTGTCAGAACTTGATGTCCGAGGTCTGGGTAGCCCAGCACGAGTACCTCTGGGAAAGAGCGAAGAGAAGCTTGGAATCCACGAGCAAGCGTGCACACTTTCCTTCCCGATCGTGCTGGTGACCCCTTTTGCACAAGCACCGAGAAGGCTACCCTTTCTGGTAGGGTTGAAGCATCGGAGCGGTGTGCTTGGAAGCAAGGATCCAAAATCTTCGCAGTTGACTCGCACACGCTGACTGAAGCCGAGATGGAGGTGCCAGCACAGGTGCAACGGCTCACGCGTTTTTTTGCTTGGAAAGTGCGAACAGGCAGCACTTGCCAAGAAGACTCCGACTGAGAAGGATGGCAGTGGCACGGTGGCACAAAGCTTGTGTGGCGGCTTTGACTTGTCCCGTCAGCTGCTAGGTGATGACTTGGAGCTCTCTTTCCAGGAGCCCAGGGCAGCAAGCAGGGGCATCAGGGAGAGGATGTGGCAGCAGAGTCCAAGACATGGCAGCTGAGTCAATAGCCTGAATGGCTGAGGACAGAGTAGTGATGTGCTCACCTTTCTTTGTCCTGGACAACTTCCTGGCAAACGCTTATTCTTGTGAAGAACAGGTGCGACCTAGATCACCAACCCCCTTGCAGCTCGAAATGGGAGGGTGGGTGAGGCTCTGATGTATTTCAAGGCCGCTTCGTTGGAGGTCGGAGTTAAGACCTTGGTGGTGGGGTCAGACTTGAAGTTTCACAGATATTCCTGGAATAAGGACAAGTTGTGTTTGCAAGATAGTCACCGTTTGCTCCTGCAGAACGACGGCCTGATGACACAGGAGGAAATTGTTGCTTTCAAACCCAAGTTGGAACATGGATCGGCCCACGTCGGCCCACTGGAAGAAGACGTCGCAGCATGTCGCAGCATCACGGCAATTGCGCCAAAGTAGCTATGAGATAAGCATGAGATAGGACAGGCAGTGACGGCACTGGTGGGACCACGCCTTCGAAGCTGTGCTTGGCGACTCCTGCTGGGATTCGGCCTCCGGCGGGCGTTAGCTGAGGCCACAAGACGGTGCTGATTCTCGGCCTCCTTTTTTAGGCCGTTAACTGATTTCGATTTCACGCCTGCAAAGACTGATTTGGCAGGGGCAGTTGCTGCTTCTTCGTGGTCAATGGGCTGGGGGGAAGGGGATGTGACCACGGCTCCGTTTGTGGCAAACTGTGCACGTGGACAACTTAGCGGACTTCTACTGCAAACTTATTAACAGCCGTACAATCTTACAAAGGCTGAAGGATCAGGGCAATGTACGCTGCAGCTCCTTCTCAATTGGATATCTTTGGACACAGCTGCCCGTGTGCGACCCGTTCTGGGCCAGCTAGGGGAACCGGTGGTGACCACGGCCCCGTGAGTGCGAAGTAGTAGCGACTGACCCGGCAAAAGCAGTCTTCACAGGCTTCAAGTAGCCTTATAGAGGAGGCCCAGAATCAGCTTCGGATGCAGAACAATGGTTCAGTGGTTTCACTGAGTGCCCACGAAAAGGAACTTTCCGACGCTTTCGCGTCCGATGCCGAGTTGTTGTCACTGCATGCACAGTTCTGCGTGGCCAGGAGATACCTACTTCCTCCGCCGAGACCACCACATGAAATTTCATGGTACCTCCACCCCTCTAGCCTCTGTTTTATTTCAGGGTTGAGCTTGAAGCGCATTCAGCTCTATAGCACCCCCCAGCAAAGCGGTACTGGTTGACCTAGCTATCTGGAATGTGATGTTTTCGCTGACATGATCTCATCAGTATGCAGTATGATTTGTCGTCGTAAGTGGTTTTGGCCTCTAGCAGATCATGACGATGGCAGTACGTTTCTCTGTACTGTTGCAGCAGCTGTCGTTGCCACAGGTTACCACTCGCGACATGATCTCCTACTCAACGAGTCATAGAATTGTATACGCCAGTGCAGGAGGAGAGCGCGCAGAGCACATAAGATTTTGTCGAATGTGCAGGTGGGTTTGTCAGTGGCATCGGCAATACTGCACGCAGTGGCATTTTGTGCGGTATGCCTGCTGCCGTCCTACGCATGTTGCCTGATGCCAGAGCCTATGCCCGCAGATAGCAATCCTTTGGTAGTGTTTTAACCGCAAGGACATTGGTGCATCACACGCAGTTGCAGCGATAGGTTGGCGGGCATGAGCACGTAGTTTTGCTTGTGAGGCGTGGGGCCCATCATTTCATGTTATGGCCTCGGCCTACGGACTTTGCATCATCTTGCTGGGAGCCTTCTATTATCTTTCCTTTGGCAACATCACGGTTCGATTCGCTTTGAGCGTGTTGCAGATCGCCTGTTTGGCTTTCTGGACAGTTTTGACTGTTGCGTGCCTGGACAGCACCAAGTAAGTTGCATCAACCGTCGAAGCGTACACCAATGAACAAACTGTTTGTCAGCCCATGCTTTGTGCTCAGGTACCTTGTCAGTGCCATTATCTACCTGTCAGCCATATCTGCCGTCAACGAAGATTTGATTCCGAACGCGCTGAGCCCATTGGCGACCATCGTAGCCTATGTCGCTGTCATAACTGTACGACTCAAAGAACCTTGGCGGCAGACTGCATTTGTTTGTCCTCCTCCGCCACTTCGCCATTGACTCCTGCAACGGTTGGATAGAATTCTCTTTGGCAAGTGCCGAGACAGTTTTGAAGTATCTTCGGGACACTTTTGTTTGACTGTGTAGCGAGTGGCGGTAGGAGGCCAGATTTCGACTTTACTTCTCGGACCGCCTAGCACTGCCAGGACCTTCAGCAACATTACATGGAGATCTTGAAGGGCAAGAAGTCCAAAGGGTTCATCATATCTCAGATCCAACGGCTGGGATTCTCCACTGGAGAGATTGTCATACTGGTGCTTGCTGCTCGGCTTGGACCAACAATGACGCCAGACCTCTCACTTCTGCGCTCTCTCTCTCTCTCGTGTGCAGCAGTGTGCAGGTGATGTGCGTGTGTGTGTGTGGCTTGCTCTCCTCAGGAAGGAGTGGCTGCCTTGCTCGGCCTTTTGATTTTGCAGCTGCGTGTTCGGAACGCATACGCTGGCCCGGGAATGCATGGCAATCTGCTTAGTTCCGCGATATTGCCAAGCTATGCCGTTGTTCATTCGGCGCCTCGGCACAACTCCGCACAGCTAGCTTAGCAATAGTAAACCTTCATCCCATACCAAGAAATCTAGTGCGTGAGGCCCGATAAAAATTCGCAAGCTGTAATGCATGGCTCCCTAGCGAGACCCTCGAGGATGGCACGGGAGAGAGAGAGAGATAGAGAGAGAAGCCACGGCTGGTGACCCCTAAGCCCGGCAGAAAGAAAAAGAAAAGCCACGGCTGCCAGATGTTGCACCCTTGCATACTGGCAGAGGTTGTCCAACTGCGCAAGAGCTCGGACAGTGATGCGGCAAGCAATGTTGACGAAGTTACGGGCGCTATCACCGTGCGGTCCTTGGTGTTGGGAGTGGAGAGTCGTCGTTCGCTTAGTGCGGCATCACGACATAAAGGACTGACAGTGTTCTGTCTGCAGCCGCTCAGTACTGCCATCATGTCGCAGTGCATCGGGCTGAGGACATTTTCTGAGAGTTTCCCGCCTCTGGCTACAAATGCAAGGGGGCCATACGACTTGTCTTCAGCTTTCGCACAGCCACATGGATTGCCTAAGGCAATACTTTGAGAAAACTGTCTGCGTCCCCTTTGAAACCCATCTCCCTGCCTTCTGCTGTCCTCTCCCTGCTCCTGCCACCACCGCCGCCCGCCAGCTTGGAACCTTTCAAGCTCAAATCGCCTGTAGACTATTCTATCTTCTTGTTCCGAACCCTCATGCGTGCCACGACATGACCTACACAGAGGTGACAATCGGCCCCGGCGTGGTGGTGGGCATACTTGTCTTTTTTGGCCTTGCGCTGATGCATGAGCTCTTCGTAGGGGCAAGGGGTAAGCCGCTCTTGGCAAGGAGGGATGGCAGCAACTCAACTCTGCTCCAGCTTGCCTTCTTGATTGGCTGGTTCGTGCCTTTCGTCACCAAGTCGTTATCGATACCTATTTCGCTGGACTATGCAGTCGGGACCATGCCAGTGGGTGCATTCATCGGCACCTGGGCTGGGAAGAGATTCACTGACGAACAGAAATGGGACCAGCGCCATGCTCGCAAGGTCTATGTCTGCTGCTATGGACTTAATTGCGCGTGTCTGCCGGCCATTGCTTTGCTCATACAGGCCTGCATCGGATGGAACATGGAGGCCAAGCGCATGGTTTTTTGGCTCGTGGTCTTCCTTACTTTTGTAGCCAATGTGCTTGGTGGCATGATCATGATTCCGTGGTGCACTATGTGGAATTTGGTTACCCCCCACGGTGACAAAACGTTTTGGTCGATGCTGGCCCAGAGTTCCAAAAACTTTGGCCTCATCGCGGGTCCGATTTACTTCGCCATGCTGAGCCGTTTCGTCCGGGGGAGCGCCAGTGAAGTGTCTCCAATCAGCATGATGAGCTGGGTAT